AAGTGATTTTTTTTTTTTTTTTTTTTTTTTTACGATTAAAAATAACACTTTGATTAATAATTGCATTAAAATATTTTAATCCACCTTCCATAAAGCCAGGCTCAACAGTTTGTTTCACAGGCATTGAATTCAATGTAACAAAATTAAGCTTCACATGCGTTGCCATAATTGACTAATCAAGTAAACAAACGATATTGTAAATCAAATCGGCTACGAATTTCGAGTTAAACTAGGATTCTTATAATTCTGACACTACTTTTAAAGCAGACAGCTTATGTTGTACGTTTAAACGCAAATTTAAAGAACTCACTGAACATATTTACTTTACGTATGTGTACATCGAAGCAGAACTCAAAATTCTCGAATTCTCCTAACGTTGATATCAAACGCTCGGCAGAAATTCTCCAGGGGAATTCCTTTCGAAACAGAATTGGAACAACATCGAATTCCAAATACGCATTAAACTCACTCTAAAAGAAAAATCTTTCTTGCCGCATTGAAGACTGCAGTCGGGGAAATATTTGACAAAAACTTGGAAGACTCTTCTTGTTACGGGAGTTATCGAGATGACACTAAAAACCGTCTGAAGGTACCTTCCGCCTTTTTCTTTTTTCGCGCCCAGTACGCAGACGATTGTCAAAAACACGCGCGCTTTTGCATGAAATATATCCTGTGATGTCTATAAGAAGTGGTTTTTTTTTACTTTTTTGTGCATATTATATATATTCGTGTGAGTGGATAGATATATATACGTATACGTACAGAAAGAATTTTTTTTCAGCTAGTGAAACGTACTACATCCCTCGAGTGTATTTCTGTACTCTCTTCACTTTCCCATTTTCGCTGAAGTGAAATTTTAGAAATCTGCTTCTGCTTCCACCCACCTTCAGGTTTAACTTTATTTGAATCTCGGGCGGAAACAGAAGGTTTATTTTGGAGGAAAGTGGTATTGGAAATGAAAGTTCAACTTACTTACACCATAAACCTTCAAATATTTCCGCAAGCAGGTACCACATAGGATCTGGATATTCATATGTTTTTAATTTTAGCAAAGTGCTCGAGAATCACCTTCTTCAGCCGTATCTCAATCATTCAGATATTCGAAAAATCTTACTAATAAAATAATATTTTGCAGTAAGCTAAATATGTATTTGATTGAAATAAGTTTTGGCCAAGCACGCGATTATTATCTGCTAAGGGGAAGATATTATATTCTATCTATTTCGGGAAACTTTGCATGCATTACAAAAGTTAAAAAACTACAAAGTGTGACTTCTGTAAGGCAAAAATTGACCGGCACATTTAATTTCAAAATTCTGGGCATTTGACGTCCTTTTCAAGTAATTGGTTATTATACAAATAAGAGTAATTCTTAGTTGAATTTTCTTCTTTAAATACTATTCAGTCCTATTCTATAGTGAATTACTAGTATGTAACAATCTTTAGTGTATGACTATATTACGTCAGATATACCGAAAAGACTTTTCACTCAAATAATCTTACAAGATTTCAAACGCTTAAAATACGTTTTTAATATTCACACGAAGTGTTTTTTTAAGCCCAAAAGAAGTTATTATTCTCAGAATAGAATTTTGCTTTGGTTCACTATAAATGGGGTATCGTTTTTCCAATTGTTGCCATCAAATACTATTGCCCAGTATTATATTTAAAGAAATGAAGTAATGAAGAATCTGCATGTGCGTGCCTCACATGCGAAAAAATGACGGTAACTAGAATCATCCAGTTTTGAATAGCGTTAGAATTCCATCTGAACATGCGCACTGAAACCTATGACGTTTGTATCATATAACTGTTTTTAATTATGAAATGCGGTATATTATATTAGTGATGAGATCATGAAAGTCGCCACTTTTGCGAATAAAATTTAATATATCCTATTAAAGCACTTTTTATTGCATTTTGCGCATTTTTTTCACACGTAATTCTTGTATAAACATCTATACTTTGGTAAAACGGTAAAAACTCTAAAACATAAAATTGATGAACTTACTTTTGTGTGAAAATAAATCAAAATTAATAATATTGATACCGCATGATGCTTTGAATCAAATAAGGTAAAATTAAACAAGATCTGATAATTTTTTTTTTTTAAATTTTATGATCATTTTCAGGCAGTAGTTTTTTTTAATTATTATAACATTATAAGACGATAATTTATTTGATTATATGATCATTAATTGTTAACACTACAAAAACTGATCATAAGATGATTATAAAATCCGGAGCATAAACTTTTCTGAGTATAATGAAAAAACAAAACAAAAAAAAAATTAAATGATAAAATAAAACGGAAGCACTCAGATTTTATATTACGCCCAAAGAGACTTTTTTGAACGTTTTGTGTGTAAACTATCATCTTCTTCGCACGTAAACCCCATAAAATTCAATTCAACAGCAATATCACAAAATATTTGAAAACAGCACATCTTTAGAATTTCCGCGCTGGAGATAAAAATTTTATTTTCCGTTGCCATTGCTCGCTTTGAATCCGTTAAGTTCGTTAATAAAAAATTCTCTAAAGATTTACGATATATGAAATGGATTAAAACAAGTTCGGAATACAGCCGTCCAGGTGCCCATGTTCAGGTCTAGCATTACTTTATTCAAAATTTGTATGGCTCTAGATACCGTTGTGTTTCACAGTGCGAGAAATATACATGCATTTATGCAGATTCTTCATTATTTATTTTCTTTAAATGTAATACAGAGCGATAATATTCGGTGTAAACACTTCGCAAAGTGAAACGGACAGTTATAGTGAAACAATGCCAAAATTCCGTTTCGAAACGAATAGCCGTTCCGGGCTACGCCCCTTTGGGTTAATAAAATAAATTCACAGTAAGTGGAAAAAGTCTTATGCAGAACTAGAAATAAATTTTAAAAAATGATCACTATAAAATACTTGCACAATTAATTATTAGAGATAAATACAATTTTTAATATTATAATAAATGTATAAAATTATCATTTAAAAGTGATTATCACTATGATGCAATACGAAATATAATTGAAATAAAACTTTGTAGAATATTATGCTATAATATTCACCTATAATTTTACGAAAACCATTACAATTAGAATTTTAAACAGAAAATTTCAAAAATTCATTTTTAGGCATTTTAGATTTTTTTACTTATTTGCTCCAATAAAAAAGCATAAAATTTCCTTACAGCATGAGAAAAACAAACAATATCCAGGCCTGAAAGCATGCAACAGCTTTATAATTATTTGGAATGTTAATTATGCTTCATAAACATGCTAAATTGTTAAAAATCAATCTCAGTTTCAAAAATAAAAACATAAAATAATTCTAATTTGTGAAATGAGGCGCTATCACTAGCTTTTTCTTGGCGATTATAGGCCATTAGACAACAACGCCGATTAGAATTTAAGCAAATCCATCCAGAAGTCCTCTTATGGCAGCGGCCATGATAACTAGTTACGTCATACTGCGACGTTTCATGGCTTCATTTTCACTGTACGGGGCATAATTGAGAAGGCTTATTCCACCTATTCTAGCCGCCATTATTTTTGGGGCGCGAGACTGTTGCCATTCGGAAAAATTTCAGATACTTTTCTTTCAATTTTAATTTACAAACTCAACCCTATGAAAGCAACATGTTGCCGCGGCCAGTCATTAAAGCATCTACCCAAGGTAGCTAACATTTACCTTGGGTTGACACCTTTGTGACGCAGCTAACACTTATCTTGTTGTCGATATTGTGCATTTCACCTACTTGGCGGCAATATGCTGAAATTCTATGAAGTCTCTGACTACAGAAATGCATTTATTTAGTGCTTAGCCCTGAAAAATATGGTATTTTTTCACGAACAGACAGGCACCTGCAGTCCATGCGTTGAAAAACGTATCACTTAAATAAGAAATATTAACTTGAAAGGTGCATCAGAACCCTATTTAAGTATTCTGGTCTTAAAGAAGCGCTCATATTGCAGAATCGTTAGCTATAACAAGCGACTTTTCAAAAACGCGCTTTCGGTTTTGCGCTTTTTGGGGAAACGCGCTACTGGTCTGAAGAGGTAGGTTTAAAGTATGAAAATTTTGCTTCATGACCTAGGTAGCTTCTTGGAGCGTTGCGTTGCAAACTGCTTAACCAGTTAGAAAAAGATAAGAATATGATATGAGAACCCTATTCGCCAATGTTAACGATAATGGATTTTTTTTCTCGGGCTCTTACTGGAGCTACTGTTTAAAGACTGGATTCTAACTATATAAACAGAATTCAAAGATATATTATGTATATTCAATGTGTATTTAATGATGAAAGAATAAACATTATTATGGTATTTACAGTGTGAAAGGAAGTAAGATAAAAAGTTCTTCATCATAAAACAGAATCACATCGTCAATCAATGTTCTCGAGCGCATGGTTCAGCCCACAACGCCACGTTTTCACATCATCGAATGCAAGTCTGTCCCTTTCCTCACACAGCTAGAAGAAATATCTCGCTGCTGTAGCTGTTGCCATATTTAGGAAAAGGCGGTTGAGTTGTAGGAGCGAATGTGCACACGGCCATTCTGCCTTGCCGGGCGTCCTCGCCTGGGTATGATCTGAAAAAAAAAAGGGGAATAAAGTAGAGAAAGTGAAAAAAAATCAGTGTCCATGTGGCGAATGTTAGCTTTGTGCACCACCGGTTCATCTTATCAGCACAGGTTAACATCGTAATGATGTCTTCATGGCGTATCTTTCGTACTTCGTAACAATCAGAGGGCTGAACTGTCTCATAAGGACCGAAGAATTTGGGACGAAGTTTAAGTCCAAGTTTCAGTTCAAGTCGAAGATTCAGTCCAAGTGGAAGTTTCAGTTCAGGCTGGATTGTCATTTGGTTTGTTTATATTTGCAGGCAGGTTTGCGACGTTTCTTATACTGCCGTGTATGTACGTGCTGTAAACGGAGAGGTTCCGTTGAGCTTCAAGTGCCATAATGCAGCGTTTTCATCATCATGCTGTGTCAGCAATTTCATTGTCTTTGAAGTTCGTTTAAATTTTCTTCGTTTATACTTCCAGGCTTTCTTCTTCCGTTTCTTTGGGACGTGAAGCAGATAAAGTGTATGAAACAGTAATTTTTCTCGTTTGCTTGATTAGCACATGCTTGTTGAAATTGATTCAGTTTATTTTTCACAATTTCTTCATTATTCTGCACGTTTGGATCATTATCGACATCATCATTACAATTAGCTTCATGACTGTCATCATCATCATCTTCGTTGTCATCAACATCATCTTCATTGACATGATCTTCATCAACAGCAACGTCATCTGGATCAATATCATTATCATCATCTTCATTAGCTTCATGAGTGCCATCATCATCATCAGCACCATTAGCGTTATGATTTTCGTCATCATCAATATCATGATCTTGATCCATGTCGTTGTCTGCGTCATCACCATCTTCATCAACATCATCGTCATGAGCTCCATGATTGGTATCAGCATCATCTTTGTCATCGTGATCAACCAAATCCAAATTGTCATCATCTAAATCCAATTCTAAATCGTCATGTGCAGCATCATCATTTTCCTTACTTGTTTTCTTCAACTAATTTTCATTTGCTGTTATTTTCTGAAAATCTTCCATAGCAGTGTTAACTTCGTGTGGGTTGTGAGGAGTAATGATATGTTGAACTTCTTGGAAAATTTCCGATTTTGAGATGTGTGAAAGATCAGGTGGAAATTGTGATCATGAGTAACATTAGCAACATTAACAAAAATTTGATCATTATTGTTACTGCATAAATGAATACCATCTTTATCAAATGTAAATCGAGTTTGTTGCAAAAAGTCTATTCCAATAATCGCATCAAGAGGAATCATATAGTTTTTTACTACATGGATTTTTGCAGGTAAAATAGTGTTTTCAATTTGAATGTAGTCTTGAAAGAATCCAATACTTTGAACCGTGTCTCGGCCAAGTCCCGAGAATGTAATTCTGGAAGGATGTAATGGTGGAGAACCAATTTTACGGTATGTTTTCTCCGTAATAAGTGTTGCTTGTGATACAGTGTCATAGAGAGCAGTTAACTGAGTTCCTTTAAGTTGAATATCAACATGCATAGGATTTTTAGAAAAATTTTGAGCAGAAAGGGCATTTACAGTACTATCAGATGTAGAACAATTAGGAGCAGATTCCGCGGTAGAACTACCAGAACGTTTGGGACAATTGGAATGAACGTGACCATAATTTTGCCAGCCATAACAGAATTTGCCATTAGATTTATTAGGACAAGTATTGCTTTTGTGGCCTTCCAAACCACAAGAATAACAAACTGGCTGTGTATTTGATGTACGTTTAGCATCAATTTTAACATTGGGAAAGGAATTAGTAAATTTCTTTGGAGTATTTTGCTTCAAATGTTTTGAATTGTTAAAGAGTTTTTCATAAATCTTCAGTTTTTCTCTAAATTCAGGAATGGATTTACAACCGTATAAAATTATTTTGTTGTTTGATGAATCAGGAAAATCATGTATCACATACTCAATCAAAGTAGAATCATCCATAGAACCTTTGTGTGCGAGGTCTCTCATAGCTAAAAAATATTCTTGTAAAGATTCAGATGTTTTCATGTGACGAGATTCCATTATTTTATGTAATTGAAGGCTATTAATTTTATCCGAAAATTCATCTAATAAATGGTGTTTTAATTGTTCCCAATTAGTAATTCCACGAATTGATCTTATTAAAGTTAAAGCTGGACCTGTAAGACATTTTTTAACAAAAATTACTTGGTGTACAGGATTCGTGATTTCATAGAGATTAAAAATGTCATCAATGTCTGAAATAAAAGTTTCGACGCTGTAATTATCCCGAGAGGAAAAAGGTTTGATAAAGTCAACAATGTCCTTTAAGCCAAAACATTGAAACCGGAACAGTTCTGTGTTTGCGGGTTAGTTGATACCAATAAATTTGCAGGCGCACTTTCAAGAGAGATTTTTGCCTCCATTTGTTTACATAAAGATTTCATCTGGAGTGTGATTAATGTTCTGTTTGGGCGACGCTATGCGTCGAGGGTGAACTTTGCACCCAAAGCGTCTTCTTCAAGGTCGCTGTAGTCAGCGGAATCTGATTTTAATAACGAGACATCAGCTAAATTCGTAAGAATATTGTTAGCACAGTTTTCACATCGGTGGAAAATTCTAAATATAGTAAGTTACAAATGGCAATTAATTCCGCAAGAGAAAATTCTTTGATATTTTTTTGTTTCGTATCTTCAACATTAAATGGTTTGGGAAAACCAGAAAAATTGCGTAACCTAGCACGATTCTGCCGATCACCATCTGAGCCAAAAACTAAACGATGTAAAAGCTTGATATGCTTTGTACTGGCAGTGTTTAATGATTGTGCAATGTGGGATAATCGTTAAGTGTAGCCATTATTTATTAGTTTTGTTTTTACCAAATATGAAATTCACAAAATATTATTGTTTCGATTTCATAAATATTATTTCTGGTTTCAGAAATTGGTATACCAAAATATACTCTTAATTTTCATATTCTTCAAATAATATTAATTCTCTAGTATATTACACAGTAACTATGATGTTAGAACACTCAAAAATCATAAAGAAAATTGTAAACATAAAGCCTTGCTTATTCTTGTCCAGGCTTTCTTATCTTATCTAATCATTATTTCCTATCTTGTTCATTTGCGGTTTTGCAGCTGAAGATGATGGTTCGGTAAAACCATCGAAACTAGTCCTGTGAAAATTTTGTAGATATAACGCTGATTTTTGTTGTTTGACTTCTGAATTAGTATTTATTCGGCGTGTTATTGTGTCTTAATTATAAAGTCAAACAAATGGTAAAATATATCTTCAAACAAATCTTCATATAAGACTATGTTAAGAATGAAAAATAGAATTTCACGTTAAAATATGATATCAAAATTAATAACTTAAAAATAATATTCTACAGTCCTTGTAAAATATAAGCATCACAAGAAATAAGAAATTTATGCACCAAATTCGAAAACGAAAGTAATTCTTCAAAGTAACTTTTTTTTTAATATACCACAATTCTGTAAATAGTCAGTAATGTATTTCCATCAAAATCGAATACCTTTAGTTTATTCAATTAAACTTCATCAAAACTGTTTAATTAATTATCATCATCATCAAATTCGAAAACGGAAGTGTTAATTCTTCAAAGTAATAATCATTCAAATAAATGAATTTTCATCACATCAAATGCCTTTCGCTTCATCAATAAACTTCATAAAAGGCGTCATCAAATATTCATAATAACTTGAAAGAATATTACTTCCTGATTAGCATTACTTCATCAAATAAAATTAGCTCTATTTACGTGCTGACGAATCACAACAACGGGAATCTTGCGATATTATTCCACAGTAGTACATCATTGATAGTTATATTCGGTGGTAGTCTAGGGAATTTAAAAAGCTGAAGAGTAGAACAGATTTTAGTTCAAGGAGTCGAAAGAGTTCGCGGGGACGAGCCCCCATGTAGGATGAGGTTAGGATTAAAACAGAGGAAGGCAGTAGCATTTTAATGGTATTTAATGATGAAAGAATAAACATGATTATGGTATTTACAGTGTGAAAGGAAGTAAGATAAAAAGTTCTTCATCATAAAACAGAATCACATCGTCAATCAATGTTCTCGAGCGACATGGTTCAGCTCCATCCAACGCCACGTTCTCACATCATCGGAATGCAAGTCTGTCCCTTTCTTCACACAGCTTGTCGCTGCTGTCGCTGTTGCCAGATTTAGGAAAAGGAGGATGACTTATAGGAGCGAATTACCACATATATGCGTAACAGTTTAGAAACGTTTGCTTGTCGCTTTCCTACTTTCTTAACTAATGGCGGATTTATTTTAATTATTTATTAACGTAATTGCTTACTTTATTCGCTTTTTGAAAGCTACAAAGTATTACCACTTTATTTGAATTCCCTGAATCCAATATGGGTTTTAGAAGATCTAACTCGTATCTAGTTTTATTCATATAATCAAAATTTATCTTTTAACTATAGATTTTTCTATTTGTATTTCATGGTTTTTATATGCTGATTTTTCATAAAAGAATTTTATGTGTTTGATCTTATTGCTTCCTATACCTGTCTTAAATTTCCACTCGTGAGTATGAATAGTGCATGTGTTTTTATCTCTATTATCTTAAGTTTTGGAAATACCTATTGTCTGGCGCAACATACCCCCATGGGTTTTGTGCTAAAAATTTTCAACTAATCAACCAACCAACTTACTTTATTCCCTGGATGTACTCTTCATGTATTATTGTAGTCTCCTATATAATTTTCAATTTTCAATTTACAAGACGTTGGTTATTTTGTCCTAATTTGATGGATGCATTTATAATACATATACATCATTACATTTTGGTTTTCCGGGATAATAGTGAATGTTTAATAACTGTTTCTCATTCAGAGCATAAAATTACAAAAATATGCAGATTAACCCCAAATAGAATGACCAAATTTAAAAGGAAGAAAATGCAGACAAATTTAAAGTAAGCAAATAACCACATTTTTATTTTCATTTTAAATTCCATAGCAAAATAAATCGAGTAGCAAACCAGTGAGATACCACTGAACAAATTGAAAACAATATTTGAAACAACATGTAAAATAAAGTATAGGAGTAAAATTAAAATAAACTATAAGTAAAATGACGATATGAAAATTGCTTGCGAATATCTGTCGTCTTCAGTGTAGAAAACGTTTTGTTCTTCGAGCTACATTTTTACATTAATCCATACATACAAATGTTTCATTAATCATTTAGGAAATGAAATAAATTTAATTAAGCTAGAGTAATTAAAGTCGATCTCAAACTGTATGAAGATATTGTCTTCTGTGCAACTCTAGAAATATTGAAATGCTTGAAACAATTGTTCTTGTAAGCTTGGTTCCTTGGCAAGATGAGGAATGACATGTGGGTTTATGTGTATTCTCGTTTCTATTTCTGGTTGTATGTCTTAGTGGGAATCAATTCCATTACTCTCTTAATAGATTACATATGTATCAGAGTAATCTTTCGAGCTATACAATAAGATATTTTTGTTTAAATGCAACAAAACTACTTGCTACGTCTACTAAGACCTATTTTTCATAACCCGCTAATACTACGTACAAACACAGCGATAAGTTTGATGACCATGTCTTTTGAATTTATATATTCACCACGAGCCTAGTTTTATGACTTTTACTGTCTTGTAATGAGCACATCTGAGCAGCTGTCCATTACCTATTATCGAGAATTTGTATTGATGGAAAAGATGTAACGGACATTTTGACGAGTTTGTATAGAAATTGTTGGAAATGAGACGCAACAAGTGTCCGGAAAATTATATCCATTCCAAACAAACAAGTAATGATTTTCCGGTTAGTTTTGTACAGGATGGGTTACAAATGTTTGCACTCTTGGAAATCGCATTTTTAAAATTATGATAATGTTAGCTTATAGAGCATTTATTTTTCAGAATAAGCATATTCAGGAATTACACATTAAAAATAATATCTTCAAGATACATACCCTCATATCATAGACACTCTTGCAACCGAACATGAAGATTTTCAAAAAAACCAAAATCACACATGGCCCGCCGTAACGCGGATATTTGTTTCAACTGGTTTATTTTTGTAAGAAATTTCGTTATGAATATTTTGTTTCAATTGGGTTACATTCTCGGTGTTCTTTTTGTTTGTTTGTTTGCTCTTAAGATACTCCTGTTCCCATTTAAAAAAAAGTGTCGGCGGGAGAATAATCTAGGCTTTTCCAAGGTCACAAGATGTTTCCTTTATCAAAAATCAAGTTATTAGATAGCATTCCTTTGACTAAAGATGTGCGCACTTTTGAGTATGGCACATCTCTGCTGCAACGAGGTTTTTTTTGAATAGCTACACTGAACTAGTAGTCGAGTGGTTAATTTGAACTAGTAGTTGCTGAATCCTAGTAGTTCGAACTGGCTTGGGCTCAAATGCATGCAAAAGCCCTGACTGCATTGTTGGTGTTCGTGGTTTTCCTTATCTTTAACGTGATTACGAACCAATTTCGCTCAGAAAGGCTTCTTCTTAGGCAGGTAGCCCTAGTAAAGCTTCAAATTCTTGCAATTCTGTCTAACTTCTAATGTCTCGCCCATTTACTTCGTTCCACCGAGAAAGTAGCCATTCTGTTTGTTTCACATTTTTGGTAGAAACAGTTTGTTTTAATCTCGTAATTCATGATTTAGTTAATTTAACATAAAGATACTGACTGTTATTGCTTAAGTTATTTGCAACAACAGTACAGTTACATAAAAAATGTTATTTCTACAGAAGTCCTCTCTTTTTTTGGAGGGAGGAAAAGCTTTGGAAAAGTTTTTTATCG